GGTTAAAAACTCATTGATTTTGAACCTAATTTTTATTTTTACTTAGTATGACCCTATTTGACACACCCAAGTTAGTTCTTTAAACAATTTTTAGCACTAGCTAGATGCCTAATTTATATTTTAATGTCCGTCTGGTAGATTATTTTAAATCATTACACACGTATTTTTTATTTTCTTACAGAAACGAATACTTTAGACGATATATTGATTTTAAATGGCGCGTGACGTCCCTTGTACATTTTATACGTAGAAATGACGTTTTAGCCCCCACTCCTAAACTTTGATTCGTTTCATATAAGTATTGTTTTCTTACAGGACAAAAAAAAAATACGTTTTTTTATTACCTAACTTTCGGAGTCGGACTAAATAGATTTTAAATTTTCATACCCTGTCATCATCCCAATTCTTCTTACATTTTCAATTTACCATTAAAATCATCTATTTAACTTACCAAAAACATTAACAAAACTTGCTATCAAAAGAAAACATCTTCGGACGACAAAACACGACGTAATCAAACTTATGTATTACGTATATAGTGCCATCTTTCGCCACAATTTGGTCGGCCGTCGCTGTCTGGGCAATTCTTCTTAGATTTATAACCCCCGACTCTTTCTAATATTGTTTACTTCAGTAATGGTCGGTTTTATTACTGCTATCCATTCGGCTTGTTTTATTTCGTGGGTATTTGGATTATCGGCTGTTAGAAGTTATGAGATATTAACGAATATTGAGAAGTGAGGTTTGGTTGTTTTGATTTCTTAGGGTTTTATTGGGTCTTTGATTAGGCGTTCTAATCTGTATTTACTTTTATAACTATGGTATTATATTACTATGATTTAACGATCGCAATTGCTATTGGTAAAGATAAGTGCTTTTCTTGTTTAAACATGATGGTTTTTAAGCTTTTTTCGTCTTTAAAACAGTAGTTAAGTTATTTGTAGAATGTTAAAAAGACTAACAATACATCACCACCACTACTACCACTATCACAATTTCTATCCCGTAAAAGACGATATTACATTACGTAAGACCAAAACTCTAACACAATTACACTAAAACAAAAGGACGGAGCAGACCAAAACAAAACTAAGGAAACTAAAAATAAATCACTCTGTATAAAGCGAACACATTAACGTTCCACTAAGACGTCACACAACAAACTACAAAGATAGTAGCCGAGTCCACCGCCACCGGTACATCTTCATTTACAGACCGAATCCTTACAAATTGCACCGCATAAGTAATTCCAAGTTTTTTAGCCCGTTCCTAGACAAACATTTAAGCCCTAAAAACCTGATTTATTTTAACCAAGACAAAATTCCGAATACTGCAGACACTGGTCAGAATAGTTTCGTTTCACATCTGCATTGCGTATTACTTTAGTTATAAACATGTGCTTTATATGTGTGGGTGCTTCAATTCTAAGTTAGAAAAGATAACTTGAGTTGTAGTGCTACGTTTTGGCAATTAAGTTGAGTCTGTCTAAACTCGTTAGTGGGATCCTCTTTTGCATATGTTGCAGACTGTCCTAACCTCTAAAATATACGGCATACGGAGCTAAGCTTATGATGCCTTGAGACGTAATTTATGCTCCAACTATTTGAAGCCGTATTTTAGTTTAGGTTAGAATCAAAATTGAGGAATAGTGTTAGTATTATGAAAATTGTTCATTTAATAAGTGCATAATTTTGATTTATAGCAATCATTTATCTTCACTAGGTATAAGTTATCTAACAACCATTTTTATAGGAAACTAGAGACTTCTAGCATATTTTTCTTTAATTATTATGTTTTCGGCTTACTTACGCAATTATTTAAAGAGGTGCTCGACTAGTTTCAAGCAATGCTAGAGGCTCACATTCATGAGAAGCATTCCGCAACCCGCGACTTATACTCACTCGTCAAATTATTACGTTAGTAAGTCGAAAACATATTAATTAATTTAGTATGTCTCACGAAAGTTATAATATAAACATATTTTTTTTCAAAACCATTCTACATCTTTGTAACACCTTGTCGTTTCCATCGATCACAACTCGACGATACTTAAACGCGAAAGTATTCATTGGCACACAAAAACTTTTGGCATTTACCTAGTAGCTCTGTAAAAATATGTTAGGGCTTCCGCTATAAAATTACCAACGAACCCTTCTTGTTCGCTCGTGTTTTGTTCCGATCCCTTGTACGCGGCCATTTTGTGATATTCAATACCGTCAGCAATAACAATAGGAAGGCCTCCTAGTTTATTATCATGTATGTTATTAGCATCGGGTCTGCGGAAACTGGGAACAATTGGGAAACCTTCAACTGTTGTTAAATTTATTTGTGACCAAATGTTTGCTTGCGGAAATTTTGACGCGTAATTTATAATTTGGATGTCATTACAATATTAGTTATTCGGTTTCGTATTTCAATTTTGGTCTTTGTGTTAATTTGGGTCTTATTGGTCCTTTCGAGTGTTAAGTTTGAGTAGTATTGACTTAATAGAATCATGTGTCATATATGATACTGAAAGGTTACTTATTTTTAGGTCACGCTTAAGTATAGTTCTGTCGCTACAATTTTTTTGGAAAGTGACACTGGTGGATATTAAAGTACTTAAAATTGAATAGCCTTTAAATATTCGGGCGATAGTCTCATTGTAATGATTAAATTGAAGATATGACACATGTCGAACTAAATTTAGATTATTTTAGATGAACATACTCAGGTAAAACCACGGGTCACAGCTGATCTTTTATATTTTCATTTTACGAAGCATAAAATTGTGCTTTTTTAATAAATCGCTCGCGTTTACCTTTTATCATTTTACTGAAATGAACCTGAAAATTGAAAGAATTTCAAAAAATCACGTCTAGTCTAGCAAAAATTTAATTTCTGCATCACTGAAATGTTTTGTTCGAGACATTGTTTCGAAAAATCTTTTATGTGCCTAAGTTTTATGTCTTATTAAATTAGTAAAGCCTCAAAAATAATGTGCTATTTTTTCAAAGCCTTTTTGTGTAATGACATCTCATTGTATTGCTTTTAAGGACGCCATTTGCAATTCATAAAGATAAATTAAATAAGTATTGAATAATGTACAAATTTTTGTGTGTCTGATATTATTAATCGTATTTATTAAGCTCTTGATTTTTTTTTCTTATTTTTTTTAAATCAAACGCAGCAGCTATTTCTTCAGATATATTTTGTTTTTAATACTTTTACATATAGCATTTTTAATTGAATGAACAAAATAAATATAGCAACAAACTGCCAACCAAAAATAATATCGCAAATGAAAAAAATCTGTTAGGTACCAGTGAAGCCAATCCAAAAAGGCAGGCAACAACAATAACGTTTCAAGACATCTAAATCAAGACATGAATATACATTTGCAGTCCTAAGAGCAGGACATAAAGACTACAATAAACAAAGCATAGAATTTACTCGTGCTTCGTCGCCTCCCAACAATGATGAAACGAAGAATAGAGACTAAGGAACTCCCAAGGGAACAGGTGCCACTCTAAATGACAGGATAATAACTGATAGAGGCGACAACGCTTTTCATTCAAATTCTGGCTCTGAAGGCTAGATAGATACGGTAACACTTTTTTAATTTTATAACCCTTGAGATGGTGTAACTTGAGATTAGTTGCTAAAAAGACAGTGAACATGGTGTTGTTTTCTGGTAATTACAATTTTCTTACAATATAGGCATACTTTTGGATAGTTTGGAGGACGTTAAACAGATCGTATGCAAGTATAAGCCGAGTATATACCACAGTTAAATTATATTGAATTTTACACTGACATATTTTCAGTCCATAAATAAGGCTAAAAAAAATTTCGGTTTACTAAGGGCAAGGACTGCCAAAAGGGATGATGATGATGATGCTAAATATTACATTTAGAAACCGCGGTTTCATTAATAGAAGAATGGAAACCAAAACTATCTTGAAGGAAGTTGTCATATATGAGGCTGTATTAAAAAAGTAATGTCTCATGAGTAAGACACGTAAAACAGTACTCACACATTAAAATAACATTAGCGTGCTCATGTTTCTTACAAAGTCCCTGAAAGCATTTTGAAGCAAGGTTGGCAAATATAAGGAACGTGTGTGTGCCTTTTAAAATGTTAGCTTTCCTTTTTAGGTAACATGATACTCAGCGCGGTGTTCGTTATTCGAAAGCAGTTGTTGTTGATATTTATCTTCACACTTTGCTTTCATAAAACGTGTATTAAATTACAATCGTTCTGATGGCTAAGATTGTGGGTTTTGTTTGGTTAGAAAAAATAGAAGTATGAAATGTTCTGTAATGTGTTACTAGAAAAATTGTGTATTATATTTTTGAAGGTTTAAGATAGATCTTTGAAATGTTGTTACATAATAACAGCAACAGTAAGTTTAGCTCGGAACCAGTCCACCTACGAATCCAAAAACATATCCAATCCTGAAGAAACTCCGACATACATTGGACATTCAATCAATTTTTCCTGGCACAAAAAGAAATAAACTTGAACAGCGCGCTACATTCCCAGTAAAACTGGCGCATGGCGTGAATGCCCAGCGTGACGTCACTCAAGTGATGTTCACACACGTGATCGGTTTTACGAAGTTTCCAACAGAACAGACACGGATAATAAAGTTGTCGGCGTTAATCTATTTCAGTCCTACCGCACTATATTTGCAAGGGTTAAAATAGGGGAAAAGTAACTTCGGATTTGAGTCAATTTACCAAAATTTATTCTAGAGGTGATACTGGTCTCGGTTCGTGACAAAATTTCCTTTTAGATTTTAATAGGATCAGGTGTAAATGGACCTTGGAGACTTTGTCGACAAATTATTCGTTAAAAGAAAAACAAACATAATAAGAATTACGTCTTATTGTTTATTTTATTTAAGTAGTTTCTTAGAAGTATTCAATAATATATTAAATACTAGAAGATCTGGTTTTTATTTTAAAATGATTTTGCCTGATTACAATAAAACTAAAGTCTGTTTCTTCTTTTGCAGTATCATCAGCACAGCGCGAACTCGGCAAGGGTTCGCCAACGAACGCCTCCGCCACGGCGTCGCCGGCTGGGTCTGCGGATAACGCGATCCGGTCCGGAGCGGCCCTCGACGGCCCAAGGCCAACACCTCGGACTGGGCCTTATTTCGACCTGATGGCGTCTAAAAACGTGACAGCGTTGCTCGGAAAAACGGCATATCTAAACTGCCGGGTCAAGAATTTAGGGAATAAAACGGTATGTGAACTTTACCCTATAATTCCTTTATAGCTGTATTAAGCCGTTGGTTTTTAGTAATAAGTTTGACAGTCTTTATGAGAAAAAGAAAACCTTACAACACTGATGCCCGAATACTGAAACGTTACTCAATTTTAAGTCGTGCTCAAATATCGTGCCATCTCTGTCACTTCATAAAGAATTTGTAGAGACAGAACTATACTTAAGCGCGACTTAAAATTGAGTAACGTTTCAGTATTCCGACATTAAACACTAGTATCATCTATTATAAGCAATCCAAGCAACCAGTATCTATGAATAATTAATTTTTTGGCTAAGAAAACATTCTAGATCGTTCGAACAAAAGTGCTGTGGTCGTTTGTCCGTCACAAGATTCCTTCCTAACTTTATATCACACATAAAATGACTCTAAAGATAAAAGGCCGGGATAACATCCCGTCGTTTTGCACGTGCCTAGTTGGATTTATGTCAGTGGCAATGGATATGTTCTATCTTTCGGGGATAATACGTTGGGTTATGAGCTCTTGTCCCACCGAAGACGATGAATGAGAAGCTAGTAGAGCTAGAAATTGTAGGGAGCAAGAGTGTTTCAATAGTTTAGTTTACTACATTACAAGAGAGTATGCTATATGTATTGTGCAATGGGCGATTATTCGTATCTTGCAGTATGGCAGTTCTTTGCTAAATCTACCACTGCGTCTAGCTGACAACTCTCTCAGCGACAAACTAGTGGAAAGAATCTTCGTCCACAACGCAAACTTTTCACAGAATGCAAATATGTTGTTAATTTTTTGAGTGATCAAATAGCCGAAAGCTTCTCATTTGTTCGCTGACGATAGAACAAATACCTCATGGCCAATGTATGCGCCAACATGTTGCGTACAGCCAATGTTGGTACATTTGTGACGTGTATTGATATATTGGCAATTACTTTGATTGAAGTGCTTTACACGTAGCGTGTACATAGGTAAGCTATAGTCATCCATGTCAATCGTGATGATTGACATAGGTATACATGTAACGTCTTAGTAAACGTCCCAGATATGATTGTTTTGGCAGTATAGCTGCCAGCTGCCAGGGGTAGATTCAAATTATTTATGTTGTGAGTATATTACATCAGATAACATAAAAATAATTGTCTCTTTTAATTAGAGTACACTTTTTACAATGACCCCATATTAAAACCTTCAAAACACTGCTACAAAATCATACAGATATAAGTATAGACTACGTAAAATAGGTGTCTCAAAAACAGAAAGTCAAATTACTTCAAAACATTACTGCCGCGCCAACGCACTTACGTTAAGCACCCGTAACAATACAGACGTGTGGTGGCCTCGAGTACACACTACGTACTAACGAGTTACCCTTATTTCAACAGGCACCGTCCAATTTACATAGCGGGGTACCACAAACTCCCCGCTTAAAATGAAACGTAACAATAGCAGAATGAAACTTTAAAGCCTGTATTGTGCTGAACTTTATAAATAAAAGTCTCATTAGGCGAAGTCGCCACATCCCATATAAATAACAGGTCTACGTAACGAGATCTCTCTTTCTTTCACACGGCGTTTTTAAATGCGGCGCTATCAACGGTTCTAAATTTATGTGCTGGCCCGTAATTGGTTTCAGGTAAACGGTTTCGTGTTTTTTAATAACTTTTCTAGAGACTTCGTTTGCTATATTTTTTAATGTGGTCGGTTTATGAGTTTTTCTGTTAGTAACTGATATTTGTTATGATTTTTGGTTTGGGATTGTTTGTAGTTTATATTTCATTTCTTTTACTAGTGCTGTTAGTAGTCCCTGCTACTAACGGCATTTACACATCACGATAAGGTTTTGTTGGATTTTACCAATATTCTTAACTTAGTGTTTTTGGTGAAGCTGCCTAGCCTTTGCATAGTTGTATCAATAAACATGAAGGTAATGATATTAACGACTTTATAATGGTAGCCATTCATGAAAGATTATTAAAGGTACAATGGCAATCTTAAGTTAAATATTTCTAGTTCAATGTTAACTAATAAGGAGTCTGTCAAAAGAAAGTTTCTTATAGGAAAAAAATAATATGGTAATTTTCATTTGTACCTCTAGATCAATATGTCTGAATTAAAAGCTAGACTAACCGTTTCACACTCATGAAAGTGTTTTATTATCATAACAATAGACTGAACATTATATGAATTGAACATGAACAACAGTTATACACGTCTCTTTCATTAAAATGCTACAATAACAACGATAATTGCATACAATAAGCTTGTATCGATATAATATCAGGCCATGGCCGCTCGATTAAATTACTACAAAGTAAAAGTATGTCGCTATAATGTATGTAGGTCATTTTCGAGCCAAATTAAATTTAGTTGGTCGAATGATTCCAAGCAAGGTTCGATTCTTGTATAATAAAGGTTTTTTTTTTTCAGATTTTCGAATATTTTCAAGAGCAGGCTTCAGTAGTTTTCAGGGATCTGGAACTCTGTCTGAAATTTGGCAACAGATTCACTCCTAATTACATGATAAGTCATTTACATAAGTGAACTCACTAATAAGACAACAGATGTTTGTCTCTAGATAATTAACAAATTACATTAACAGAAAACTAGGATTACATTAAAATGAAAGGACATAATTAAAAATAACATCATAATCAGAAATCTCAATCTTCAAAGACAAGATAGTGCCCTAATGGATACTGTCTGCAGACCGAACTAAATAAAAATGAAAACCACGTTCATTAAGGCCTGTGTAATGATCGCTACAGTGAAATGAGAGCGAAGCTTTGTAAGCCAACTAATGCTAATGACAGTCAGGTACACGTTACAATGTTATACCATTAAGGCTCCCATTTCCCTGCTCGGTTATAACCTATCGTTAATGCGATTCTATTTGATTTTATTTTTTACGTCAAAGGAAAATGAGCTTCCAGTAACTACCTCATTTCCCTGTGTAATATTTAAAGTTGTCCGGTTGCCAAGAATATTTTGGAGATGATCCCGAAAGATTGCATTAATTTTTTCTTGTCTCTTGCATGTTTTTTTAAGAAAGAATATTAATGCTCATTTTCCAAAGTGCTTACAATGTTAATTGGCTTCACTACTTTCAGTAACTAGATCCCTATATCTTAAGAAGATATTTCAAAAATCATTTCTAAAAAACAATGCCTTTAACAGAATGCAAACAATATTGACATCAATTTTCGAGTTACCAATGTCCATTGAAGTAGTTTACATTTAACATTGTATCAGTATAGTAGTAGATATTTTCTACCTTACAATGTCTTGCGACTTTGTCTGAGTTATATGTAGTTTCTATGATTATTTTCGACATCACTGACAAACGGTGAAAACATCGTAAGGAAACCTGGGCTCATAATTTTTAATTATAAATTTGAAATTGCTTACCCGCATTGAGTAAGCGTGGTGATTAATGCTCAAACCTTCTTCGTGCGAGAAAAAGCCTTTGGTCAGCAGTGGCCACTTATAGGCTATTGATATGATGGAAACATCTCTAATAAAACCGTTTTATTTCAGTTAAACATGCAAGTATCATGGGTACGGCACAGAGACATCCATCTGCTGACAGTCGGCCGGTACACATACACGAGCGATCAAAGGTTTAGAGCCATTCACTTGCCGCACTCTGAGGACTGGACTTTACAGGTAAATGTATTGAATACGTCAAATATCACTCGAGTTTCAATGTGTAGAATTGATATTGAAAATGGCTTTATGGGAATTCCATTATAATAGAGTACATGACTAAATTTTATTTTAACGTCCGTCTGGTAGATTACTACAGACACGTATTTTTTGTTTTCTTACCGAAACAAATACTTTTGACGATATATTGATTTGAAATATCGTGTGACGTCACTTCTAGGGACGTTTTGTACATAGAAATGACGTTTTACCTCGCGCTCCTAAACTTTGATTTGTATTATCTTCGTATTGTTTTCTTATACGACAAAATAAAAAAACTATGTGTCTAATATTTATTCATTATGTAACTGTCGGACTAATTAGATTTTAAATTTTCATACCCTGTCATTATCTCTACTTAAATGTTTTGATGTTATATAATTGGATAGACAACTTAATAATTATGGAATTGACAGAGAAAATTATTAAGTATTAAATTTAACTTCCTTAATTTAACAAACATCAGAATGTTTACAACAGAATGTGATCGGTCTCATATATCTATGCATGTGTCTAGGGTTGAAGAATTATGTTTAGATAGTCAATTTTGAGGATATAATACCCGAAGAATCATTTATTCATCCGTAGGACGATTACAAGTTCATATTTTACTATAATAAACTAAACAAGTTTTGGACAAACACTAAAGCTAAAGAGTGTTTTGGCAAGTCAAATGACATATTGGAGCGAATAATAAGACGTGGCCCTCCGCTTAAGGGATAAACTTCGCTACATGTTCAAGAAACCACTTAAGATTGTAATCTATGTTTTGGCAACTTGCCTCGGAGATAAAAACCGAGGTCCTCCGATATCTTTTCTTCAACTATACAACACGCAAACGAGACATTTTAGGAGTTTTAATGGAGACAAATATTAATTGTTTACACATAACAACAATAAAGGCCATCACAGACCCAGCAAATATATATTATAGCAAGGTACAGTAAGGTATATTATCACATATGTTCAAGACAAATTGAGTGATTACACAAACCACTATAGTATACATTTCTAAGACGTTACCAAAATATTTCGACGAAACATATTTTGTTATATTAATGTAAATGAAGAAGCTAAGTTAGCCCTTCATTTAATTTAAATTTCCCGCGTATTTTAGTTTAGACTTTATACGTCAGTATAATCTGTGGTGACAGCTTTTTTCCACTATGTCAAAGACAATGGTTTTGTTTCGTCTCGAGATTTTAGAATAAGCGCGAAAGATATTTGTGAAAATTATTTTTAAAATAAGGATACAAAGGATTGTTTGAAGCAATAGCTCTTAATGTTGTTTCTTTTACAGGTTAGTAGACCATAATGTTTATCTAATACTAATTACCTAAGTGAGTTGTGTATTTGCAAACCATTTCATTGGTTATGTTGTATTTATAATTAAACTTTCTTTTACAGAGCAACAACATAAGTATCTTGTTTCATTATCCAACCTATTACA